CAGCTGTGAAGGTGGGGGCGGGGCTTTTATACGCGAGTAGTGAAAACACTTCCGCGTAGTCTGCTCTCTTGTATCCTCCCTTTCGTCTCCTCCCGCACCCCTCCTCCCTCACCCCTCCTCGACTCCTCCGTGTGCATTTCAGCTATTGGGACGTCCTTCAAAATGGCGTGTCTTGATCGATTTCCGGGTCAAGTCCCAGAGGAGGGGAAGAGAGGAGTCGAGGAGTGGTTTTGAGATGAGGCTCCTGTCAAAGTCAAGTCAAGTCTTTTATCAATGTTAGTCAAGCAAGTCTCAAGTCGAGTCAAGTCATGTGACTCGAGTCCCCACCTCTGCTGTGTACCATATTGTTTGTGTAAGTAGCTGCGACTACTACTGTGTTCATTGGATAGCGATGTCACTACCTGGGGTATAAGACCGTTGGAGTCACGTCCCCTCTCTCTCTGTCCTCAAGTCTCTTGCATCTAATAAATAACGCCGAGATGAATGGCTAAACTTCAACTGTGAGAATAGTCACCTTTCTGCTGCAGAGAGACAAAAGGTATAAGTCTAAATCTGCTAACAGGTTATGGGCCCAGATACGATGAATTATTCTACAGTTCGAAGCACGCGTGCGATAACGAAGCGAGAAGATTGCCTGTTAGCACGGTTAGCATAGGAGTAGCTAGTTAGCCACGTGTTGAGCTAGTTTAGTATCGGGAGAACCAAGGGAAGCTAAAGCTAAGCTAACAAGGACCTAAACTAAGCTACTGAAGCTACAAACGCAAAAGCCATGTCGAATAGAACCACGAGGAAGAGCAAGTGGCCCACGTTCGACGGGAAAGCAGAATGTAGAGTATGAGCTCTGGGAAGAGAGGATGCTGTGTTGCATGCACGGAGTGGGATTGAAGGAGACCATCCTTCGAGCACCCACTGGAGAGATGACCGCGGCACTGAGGGCTCAAGACGACAAGCTCAATGGTGACGCCTATTGTGAGTTAGCGGCGCTACTCGACAATACCAGTTTAGGACTGATATTCAGAGACACGAAGGACAAGGGCCGAGAAAGTCTCAGAGTATTATGGGAGCACTACATTGGAAAAGGCAGGCCTCGGATTGTCACCTTGTACATAACCATGACTGCGCTGAAGAAAGCGGATAATGAGACGGTAACAGAATACATTATCCGAGCTGAGCAGATCATTACGGCACTCAGGAGCGCGGGAGAAGCACCGAGTGAGGGACTAATGATGGCGATGGTTATGCGGGGATTACCCGAAAAATACAAGCCGTTCACACTAATGGTGACACACGGTGACACTGAAGTAACGTTGGGACAGTTCAAGGCGAAGTTGAGGAACTTCGAGGCCTCAGAAGATTCAGCCCCAGCCTCAGACGAGACGAGCGAGAGGGTGCTGAGGGTCCAAGCAGCGACAAAGAGAAAGCCCGCCAAACGATTCATCCCCGATGGCGACGGAGAACGCGTTGGCGCGTGTCGGCGATGCGGAGAGAAAGGCCACCGAAAGGATGACTGCAAAAAGAAAGTCTGGTGTAGCTTTTGTAAAAGCAAAGGGCACACAGACAAAGCGTGCACAAAGAAGGACCGCGGTGATGTCGCTCGGTGCGCGAGCATGCTAGATGGTACCGGAGAAGCTGCGGGAGGAGATGACTACACCCTCAAAGTGCAAGCTGAAGCGACCAGCCTACAGAGACAACAACTACAGACCCACAGAAAAGGATTAATCGTGGACACAGGAGCGTCGTCCCACATCATCAACGATAAGAACAAATTCAAGATTTTTGACAGCACCTTCAAGCCGGAGAGACACAGCATGGAATTGGCAGACGGGAGGCGTACCTTCATGGTGGCGCACGGCAGAGGAGAAGCATAGATGTGTCTTGTAGACAGCGAGGGACGACGGTGTAAAGTGACCCTGAAGAACGCACTATACATCCCATCGTACCCCCAATAACTCTTTTCTGTGAAGTCTGCTACAGCTAACGGCGCTAAAGGTGTTCTTCGACGAGGGTAAAGATGTTCTGATGTTACCGGATGGTACCAGGTTTTGACATGATGTTGAAGATAAATGTCATGTTAGCCATGATATCCAAACGTGGCATGAGATTATGGGTCACTGTAATTATGAGGATGTTTTAAAGCTGCAGGATGTAACTGTAGGTATGCATATTAAGGATACAAAGCGTAATCCTGATAAAGATTGTACAGTATGCATAGAGGGAAAGTTTACCCAAACGAGAAACAGAGATCCGACCGATAAAGCAAACACACCACTTGAGTTGGTGAACACTGATCTAGCTAACAACGAGTCCATAAATGGCTTCAGGTATATGCAGTCATTTACAGATGTGTGTACAGGGCCAGTGTTTTATGGGCTCAGAACAGTCTCATAATACACACATGCACACAGAAGGATTCACACTTGTATTTCATGATCTGCAAAAGGATTCACACTTGTATTTTCGGATCCACACTTGTGTTTTTCAATGCACACACGAATGTGTTCCGTTTCATATACATGTAAATAAAATCCAAACACAGAAAGTTTTACATATGTATTTTTGATCCACACATATTTGTTTACCGTTTAAATCCTCTGAACCTGCAAACACAAACCGCTTTCTGTGCATGGATCGCTGTGCATTCGTGTGTGGGTTTTTTGAGACTCCCCTGACGGTCACCCGATTCGTACTTGTAATTTCTTTCATCTATAGCCAATCAGATGTCTCCTGCAGTCTAAGCCAATCACATGAGCGCGCCCCCACGAGGGTAGGATTTCTTGCGTTGATGACGTAGCACTTCATTTACGCATTTTGCGCTGTCCGGACTCCGGAGCTGACGGAACATCCATGGAGCTGACAGGTCAACTTCAACATGGCGTCTAGCACAAGTGTAAGTGATACGTGTCTCGGCGTGAATGATTAAATATGTTTTAGGTATGAATTCTTGTTATGTTAGTGATGTGTTAGCATGGAAGTAATATGGGTGGCATGTAATGCTAGCGTTTGCTGGCAAGTTAGCTATATAATGCTAATAGACTACCTAGGATTATAACCTTACATAGCTAACATTAGCCAAACATTTCTTTAACTTCTTTTATTTTCTTGCTTTCTTTTTTAGGGACAGCTTAGACAGAATGAATCCAAAGTTTCCTGCTCAAATTATTATTCAAAATATATTCCATTGTGTTTAATGATGGGGTGGAATTGAACATTAAGAGCTGACGTTAAATAGGATTAACCGGTGTTGGTAAACAAACGGTCGAACGTTGAGCACTGTTGGTCATATTTTATCTATCTTTTCTATTATTTTCCCCCCAGGAATCAGTAAAGCGTGAAATCCTTCAGAGACTTCAAGATCGACTGACATACATCTTTGATAGGACACCTGTTGATCTCGAAGGGCTACAGTTTGCGTGCCGTCAGGCTTTTGTTATCTTGAGTGCACTGTGACATTGTTGATTTAGGGAATAATATACAGTCTGCACTTGCAGACCTGAATAGCCTTATCCAGCAAGAGAGAGATAATCAACAGACATTTGTGACCCTTGAGTTGCAAAAATGTTGTGGACGTGGGCGTCCACGATTGAATGTGTCAGTAGAGGCTCTGACACATCTGGTTGAACTGGGACTGCCATCGAGTTGCATCGCCAGACTCCTGGGTGTGTCTAGAGCAGGGGTCACCAACCTTTTTTAGGATGAGGGCTACTTTAAAAAAATAAAACAAGTCGGGGGCTACTTTTACTCCTCTTTCTTTCTTTTTTTTGCAGTGTATATATTTAGCACATTTTAACGTTATGATATGCTGACCTTTAACCTTTGTGTGCTGTTTGGGTCTGTGGGACCCGTTTTCAGTGTTTACTAAAAGAACATGTATGCAATTTAATTATTTTAACCTGCTTTATTTGGGGGTGGACGGGCCTCACCTCCTCTAGGGGGGTCCTCACCTCCTCTAGGGGGGTACGGGGGCATGCACCCCCGGGAAGATTATTTTTAAATGTTGAAGTGAAATGCATCAATCTGGAGCACTTTGAGCACAACATGAATGGATGGATACAGCTCTCAACACTCAGATGAAAGAGAGCTGTATACTTTTCAATAATCCAAACATCTTTAGAATATGATCACAACCAATAACAAATAATTTAAACTGGTTTATTCTTATCTTATGTTACCTAGTCTGCATTCTTTCTTTTTATTTATGCTTATTTTACTAATCACTCCTTTCAAACTGTTTTTTTTACTGTCCTATACACATTGGAATGATTTCTTACTTTATCTTTATTAAATAGATAAAGGTGTGCTCTCCCTAGCTCTCTCTCTCTCTCTCCCCCTCCCTCCCTCCCTAGCTCTCTCGCTCTCTCTCTCTCTCTCTGTCTCGCTCGCTCACAGAGGCTGTGTGCTCCTCCGTGGCGATCGACGGCTTGCGTTAACAAATAATAATAAACATATTTGTAAAGTGGGGGGACATTTCCCCCCTGTCCCAGGTGGTAATTACGCCATGCGTGTGTGCGTCAAGTGCAATAAATATATATGCAAGTTGTAACACACAGAGTAAAACTCTGCCCCCCATGTGTTGCATAGGCTGGCATGATAGGCTGCTCAATGGGGCTGATGTGTAGATTCTGCCAGAAGGAAAATCAGCGGGGAGGTGCCACATTGCTTTTCTTCCAGACTGCAACGCTGGTTCTTATTATACATCCATGCGCTGGTCCCGCAAATCAAGCAAGAACGTGATTGGTCGATATTCATTGTGGGGGTGGGGGGGAGGAGGGGTGTTAGATAGATATAGAGTTGTAGTAAGTAGATAGAGTTCGCTATGCTTTAGGTTTCGTTTATGCATAGGGTAGATTCTTTTAATTACATTTCCTTTTTTGTTTTTTGTATTTTATACATTTTGGATTTGCTTGGCGAGCTATTTTTAGAACATGCCCCGCGGGCGACTCACGTTGCCCCTGCGGGCGACCAAGTGCCCGCAGGCACCGTGTTGGCTACCCCTGGTCTAGAGCAACGCTATTTAGGCGGATGACCGAAAATGACATTTCTATATCTGCTTCATATAGTGGCTGCACTGATGACGAATTGGATTCATTGATCACCACAATAAAAAGTGCAATGCCAGATGCTGGCTACAGTGTAGTCCGAGGTGCTCTACTTGCGAAGGGACACAGAGTGCAATGGGAACGGGTGTATGCATCCATGCATCGTGTGGACAGTGTTGGTGTGCTCGCCAGGATGACCCGGATGGGATGTGTGGTGAGGAGAACATACACAGTTCCTTACCCTAAGTACATGGTGCACATTGACACCAACCACAAGCTCATCAGGTTTGTCTGCATGCTGTCTGTATGTAATCTGTTCATTTTATTATTTTTAATGTCTCGTTGTATATATCTTGTGAATGTAATCATATCATTGTCTATCATTGACTTCACAAAACATCAACAGATTTTGTGTTTAGGGGTTAATTCTTATCTTTTCCTTTTTTTTTAAAACAGGTACAACTTTGTTATCTTTGGGGGAATAGATGGCTATTCAAGGAAGGTAAGACTATTCTATTGTCAAGAACCAACAACTGCAAAATATTGCCGAACATCATGTGATGGTTTTACTTTTCTAAGCTTCAGTTTATTTTCTGTACCAACAGGTGGTGATCTTTAGGTACACAATCTAATCTATAGTTAATTACATATCACCTCTTACCAAACAGACGATTTGGACTTCTAAAGTCACCTTATATTTTAAGTGATTCAGATCAAACAATATGCATTTACTTGTTTACTTAATTTCAAAATAAATACTTTGAAGAACTTGTGAAATAATTAAAACACTTATACTAGTAACCGCACAATATATGTCAAGAAGCTTGCCTGAGCTATCATGATATTCTGTTATACATTGAATAATTCTGTTGTGCGTTGTTCTCTTAATGTTGCACATTGTCATTTGACAGATGCTTCAAGTTAAACTGATTCATCAAGGTACTAATATGTTGTTTTATGTGTACTTGTATGTGTAGATCAGGGGTCGGCAACCTTTTTGATATGAAGTGCCATTTAAAAAAAAAAAAATTATCAGCGTGCCAACGATCGAGAATTATCAAGGGGGGGGGGGGGGGGGTTGAGGATGTTGAGGAGCTTGACGCTCGTGATCTATCAACAGGAGGGCGGGGGGGCCTCGCTGCGGGGAAGCAGTGTGTGGACCTGTCAGCGCAACTTACATGATACCGAATTTAACAAACACATTTAAATAATTGGTTTAAACGGCATAATAATAAGGACGATCGTCCGTTCTGTGATTCTCCAGAACACACATGTTATGATATTAGGGTCATGCAGAGTGAGATGAGATCGCTGTCCCTTTAAGAGAGAGAGAGAGAGAGGGGTGTGGCGTGTGCGTGTGAGTATGTTTCTGGAAGTGAAACGAGGCAGCAGAAAAACAGAGGTCTGTGATGTATTTTGTGAAACAGAAGAACAGCTAAATAAATGCAACGGCCTCTCAAGAAGAGCTCGCCTCTATCCAGTCATTTAAGCTAAAGTGGGTTATTGAACCTGAAGCTCGTTGCTTCTGCCCTCCTCGACTACGGTCTGGGAGCCGACAGGAAAGTTCAACACACAGATGGCCAGTCCGCCCCTTTGTAGCATATTATTTCAATGAGAGATGAGCAGATCGCCACTGGGCTTTCAACTAAAGACACACACAGCCACGCAAAAACTGCGACATTTGTAAAGCTCCTTATGGGTACTGCAATTTGTGAAGTGCTTTCTTCCGTGGTGAAACGATCAGCACTGCACCACGGAGGAAAGCGGCAGAAAGTCACCTGGAGTTAAAGAGAGCGGGGCTGCGTTGCGTGCATGGCTTCCTTCTGCAGGTAACGGGGAGACGCGCTCTGGCGGCGGTCTCGTTCAGGATCCGAAAATACAATTTAAATATTTTGCACACTTATTCGACTTATTCCTAGTGTGCCACTGGCTACGGTGCCGCGTGCCAATGCTGGCACGCGTGCCAGGGGTTGCCGACCCCTGGTGTAGATTATGTACTTGAAGATAGCAGACAACAACCGGGCTGACACCCACTTGTGTTTCTTCAATGAAGCTGTGAACGAGCACGGGTTTCCTCTGAGGTATTCACATTATTTCATATGTAATCATTAGTGTAATTGCGGACCTTTCCATCAAATTTAGATGCTCCCCTCCAATGGCTGCATCAGTGACGACCACTTTACTTTTGATGGGACTCATTCATTGCAAATATTGTCGTGCTTTACTGTTAGTTCAAAGAGGCAATCTGAACATATAAGTTAAAACAATTGCCATTATAAACTGTACCTTTCCAGGCCACAAAAGTGCTGTCGGACACAGCCATATAAATTGTTAATTCTATGTGAGCCCCTCACATATGACAATATATAAGCTACATGTCAGATTTTCCCATCCCTCAGCTGAGATTCATGTAATGTACAGAAATATGAAAATATAATCTATTCACAAGCTGATGTGAACCATCCCTCATTCAGGTGTGGAAGATAACTCGAGGTTTAATAAAGTGAAAGAGAACTCTTAAGGGTTACAGTTAAGGACCTGTCCAGATATCTCAAATATTTATGTCCAGAGAGAGCCATTTGTGATCACATTATGGATGTAGATCATTATGGAATTGTACCCCTTGTTTTTTGGACCTTCAAATACGTATATTTTAACTATGCATAATTATTTGATTTATTTTCCAGAGTGAGAGGAGATCATGGTGGAGAAAATGTGGGAGTAGCACAATTAATGTTCTCAGTTCGTGGAACTGACAGTAACAGCTTCATTGCAGGGAAAAGCGTACACAATCAACGGTGAGTTAAACCTAATTTTGTAAGCTTATGAGCATATTTCTTCTTCTTAATATTCCCTTTAACAAACCTTCATAAGCACATGTTGAGACCATTCCTTCACAAAGAAGAAAATGACAATTTTCACAGAAATTTACCAGCCAAGCAAACATTTGAAAAATTTGAAAACTCACTTAATGTTATGTTCAAGGTTCAAGGTTCTTTATTGTCAAACTAACATAGCTAGAGAGTAATTATGTCGTTGAAAATCTTACAGTAGGTCACAGGCTTCTCCAACAATGCAACATAATAATACAGATAGTAAAAGTAATACAAAAAGAAAAATAGTTCTAAAATAAAGTGAGAGAGAAAAAAAGTGGAATAGTGCAGTACGAGTCTATATACAAGTTATAGGAATGATATATATTAGATAGTAGATATATATTACTAAGTAGCAGATGAATGTTATGAAATTGTTTCAGCAGTTCAATTGTTTAACAGTCTCACTGCTATGTTTTCAGTTGATTTCTTTTTTAAATAAATGCAATTTTCAGTTAGAGACATTGCCATTGATTCAATGACTAGGACTGGGACACTTTAAATTGTTCATAGTGAACAGTTTTGATTTTCTTTTAAGTTTAAAAAAAAAATTGTGTTTTCTTCTAACACAGAATTGAACGCCTCTGGCGTGATGTGTTCATGAGTGTTACGGGTGTCTTTTACAACACCCTGCACTCTCTTGAGGAACAACACCTGCTTGACATCAGTAACGTCCTGCACATCTTCTGCTGCCACTACGTTTTCTTGCCACGCATCCAAGCCAACCTGGATGTGTTCAGTGAGGCCTGGGCCAACCATCCCATCAGGACAGAGCAAAATCTGACACCCAATCAGTTGTGGCAGGTGGGCCAGCACCTGAATCCTGTTGCAGATCCTGAGCCTGAGGTAAATTGTGACTTTTCAAAACCATCACTATCTCTTGTTTATTATCAATCAATAAAAACCCAAACAGTATAATAAGTTATCTGATTCATAATCTAACTCCCCTTCTTGGATTAAAAAAGCCTCTGCTGGGTGCAAGCAAGAACACTTTTCTATAATATTACACTATTACCTTAACATTATTCCACAATCACTCAATTTTTTATTATTATAGAACAATTGCATACCCTCTTTATTTCACCTGATCACATATTTTAAGAAGCAGTAATGGCACAGTGCTTGCTTTAATATTTGTACACGCACTTTGTCTTTTTTAGGGTTTACTCATACCAGAGATTCAATGGGAAGAGAGTGGATACACAAATGAGCATCATACCGGGGTCAATGTCCCTACGCTGAACTTCCCTCTCTCAGAACTTGAAATGATGCAACTGCAAGACAACATTGATCCATTGGAAGAATCTGAATGTTTCGGAGTGGACATATATCTCAATACTGTCCAATACATTGAGAACTTAATTGAGCACCGATAGTTGTTACACATTTAACAACTATAGTATGATTTGTGTCATGATTTCAGTTATTTGGCAATGATGGAAAGTTAATCATTTTATATTTACATAGCTTATGCTTGATTAAGTTAATCTCAATTGCATGATTTGACATTTTTCTTTTGACTTATAATTGGAAGAGAAATGAATGGAAGTGTTTTCAGAGATGCATTTTCAGTCAGGATCAAAAACCGTTTCAGAGCAACAGAATTACATTCATTTTACACTCGGTAAAAAATAAAAACGTTGTAAAAGAACTATTCGGAGTATACTGTTCAAGGGATTGGGCATTGTTAAAGTGTAACAATGATAATGGACAAACAGTCTTTTTCCAAATGTCCTTTATTTATAAAAGACGGTAGGTGTACCAACTGTAACCCTGTATCTCACACAGTGTATTGAATAGAGAGGCAAACCCTTCTCCAGAAAAATACAAAACAAACTGAGTCAGTGTGTAGCTACACAAGCCCAAAGCCTGAACTGATGGAACTGAGGGCCATCATCAAGTCCTGGTGGAACTTTTCATAGGTTTGGTAGTGGCTTGGGAGCTTCAATTTTAGGAAGCAGGTGAGAGCCACTGGGTATTTTGAAGTAACAACCTCAACTTCAAGGTTTGTTGTGAGCAGCTCCCACCCGACCCAGAACTTCAAGAGGTCACGCAGCACCTTCGGAGATGCTATGAATTTGTTATGTATGCGATACCTCAAATTGCATTATATCAAAACTTTAAATTTGAGCAGTAAAACTTGCAGGAATATCAACGGTTAACCCATGCATAGATTTGTATTTGTACACCGATGTGTGTGCATATTATTATTAATCAGAACTGCCATCTCTTCAGCTGCACTACAGCTTTAGCAGTCATTACACTTAAGTAACTAGTTTAAAATAGAGATGTAATAAAAAGTGTTACCTTCCTCTATGAATTGCCTTAAAAATCCAGTGACGAGACTGACTTTCTCCAATGGAACGGCGTCGTCCTCGTCCTCATCGCTGTCACTTTTGGGCTGTGGCCAGTGGATGTTCTGGATCACAGTCTATAGGGGATCAAATACAAACGTGTTCTTTGCTAAGATTGAAGCTCATGTTATAAGCTACAGAATTATCTTAAAATTGTAAAGCATTGATTTAAGATCTACACACCAGTTTAAGAGCCCCCAACAAATGAAATTGCATGATAGTGTTTGCAAACAAATCCCTTGAATAACATAAATCCAATAAAGAAAATGGTACTTACCTGTGAGTTCAGCTCATCATTTTTCTCTCTTGGAAATAATATGGGGTGGACATCTGGCCTATTTGAAACAAGCGGCCAGATTCCCGTTTCTTTAAGGCCTTTGCGAATCTGTTTGATAGGCTGCCTAACACGGTGAAGTACCTGCAAGTAAAAGGAACAATCAAACGAGGCACTAATGGAAAAACACCACAGTAGCAGATACAGGAGGACTTACAAAGCAAACCTACTAATTACCTAAACATTGTATTGTTTAAATAAAAATGGTACAATATAAAATGATTACTGCATGGGAAAGAAGTTCCTGGAACAGCCAGTCATGATTGGTGGAGGTTGGAACAGGGAGGTCCCAGGACAGGCAAAGATCAGTCACACTGGTGGTTTCTTGAGCAGTAAGTTGTGTATTCTTGAGCTAAAACAGGAAAAAAGAGGACATCATTTAAATGCATGCAAAATTGTGTACGGCAGTCTGCAAAAGTGGACAAAAAGCCTAAATCTGGAAAAATCTAAATGGGACACAAAAAAGCGTTGGAAATCATTTCTAGCTAAACAGCCCAGCCTTGACACATGAATGGAATCTTTTTCATAATGCACAAGATGACAAGTGTATGTAGCATTGTGGTGCAGTGGTGTATGACATGTCACTTTTGAACTAGGACACTCACAAAACCAATTGTTTCACGGTGGTCAAGATCAGGACAGTCCAGCAGGGTAAGCGCTGATGCTGCAGTATCCGTGCTCCCACCAGTCAACAGAGTCACTACAGGCACACTTAGTCCTGAGAAACCAAAACCACCATGCAGGAAGGAAAGGCCTATCATCCGACCTGCCATCTCAAACAGGTTGCTTTCCCGAAGCACAGCAGCTGCGGAGGGAACCCGATGTTCCATTTCCCCTTCAAAAAGGCTTGTAAGAGCTGCACAGCCTTAATAAAAAAGGAGAAATAGTTTAGACGCCATGTATTGCTATAACGTAATTTTTAGGTCAAGCTATATTGAGTGTTGGTTCAACTGTGAATATCAGAGGTGGGAGTAAGTCCTACATGTGCAAGTCATGAGCAAGTCTCAAGTCTTGAACTACAAGTATCAAGCAAGTCCCAAGTCACTGTGGTGAGAGTCAAGCAAGTCAAGTCAAGTCATACGAAATTCTGATGAATAAGCCCAGTTTCCGCATTTAAATCAGTTAAAAGACAGTGGTTATGAAAATGGATTTAACCCACACTATGATCTTCATTACATACACAGTTAATCATTTGAAATCTAATTTAGACCGATGACAATCATATTAGATTCATATTAACCCTAGAACTGCAGACAATATAGCTAGGACTCAATCAAAAAGTCTGTTCAAAAAGGCAGAATTCCAGGTAAGAAAATCATATATGGCATTTGCCATTACACATATTTAATTTAAATGTCTGTTAACACTAGAACCGCCAACAGCGTCAGCACCTACATAGATATCATTTTCAAATCATTTAATTTGTTCCTCTTCATCATTTCCTTATAAACTAAGTAGGACGATTTAAAACTCAGTTAATTGGGTTAATTTAGAAATTGCTTCAGTTTATCATCATAACAGATCAAAAAGTTCAGATTCATTTTACAATAAATCAAAGAATGATGCACTTCTACAAACAAAAACAACATAATTAAAACATTTAAACAAACTACTAAAAGTAGATGAACTACATTATTCAAAAGTTTACAGTAACTTCTGATAACACAGGGGAAATAAACGAGGCATCTCTTTTCCTCTCTCTCTCTCTCCCCCTCCTGACAGCCCGTCAGTATCGGGGTTAGTCAAAATGAATCCCTTGGCGGTTCTAGTGTTCATTTACGGTTTTGTCTTCTCTTTGCAATGCTTAATCGATTTGAAACCAAGTCTAACGTAGCTTAAACTTAACGTTAGCTTTCTAGCTAACACAACACATTCACGCACCTTTCTCTGTGGGGTTTTTTGTAGTGACGAATGAAGTTGGATGTTGTGGTGGTCGTGTCACTGATCTTTATGCTGCAGACCCTGCATACCGCTGTTCTCTTCTTATTAGCGTCATCGACAACATAATCCTTGAATCCAAACTTCACTATTTGTGGAGTAACGCTAGCCGCTGCCATGTTAACTGACGCTCCTACCGTCTAGTGGGTTGCCAGATTTGCGCGCACGGCGCTATAATCACCCAATCACGTTTTTCGAAAAAACTAAACGTAATATCTCAATACAAAAACAAACGCAAATATTTAATTTTAAACAGTCAAGTCCTTTCAAGTCATCTGTCTCAAGCTTAAGTCAAGTCTCAAGTCATGAATACCAAGTCAAAGTCAAGTCAAGTCTTTTATCAATGTTAGTCAAGCAAGTCTCAAGTCAAAAAATATGCGACTCGAGTCTGACTCGAGTCAAGTCATGTGACTCGAGTCCCCACCTCTGGTGAATATGCATGTTGTAATCTTTGTTGGTTTATTAAGATTTAGCTGCAAGTGGTTATTTCAATTGAAAGACAAATGGGGACACCCCACTTAAATTTATACTGAAGCCGGTCTTCAGTTTCTGCATGGCCATTGACAAAACGTGTCGGTTGACACCTTGGCCGACTGCTGCATCCCCTTGAAAAGACGACCTCATTTAGAAAAGTACAACCAACAAGATGATATTCAACATACACTTACCAAGAGACAACATGAATCATCCTTCAAGCTTTCAATACAATAAATGTAACTAGTTCTTTCTTCCCTGGTCTAAGGGACATGAACTTAACCTGTTAAGCCCCGAGCCTGTTTTTCAGGTTTCAGGCTTGAAAATGACATGCCCAAAACAAATGACTACAACTTCACTTCTAAAAGGGTTATATGAATAATTTCTTTTATCAAAACAAGGTTACATCTGTGAGTTGGATGTAGAAGTGTCAGAATCAATATAGATTTTTCTCAGTCAGAGTAAATTCAGATGGAACATAGCAGAGGTGTGGACTCGAGTCACATGAATTGGACTCGAGTCAGACTCGAGTCACCAATTTGATGACTTTGGACTCGACTTGACAAAATCACAAAACACTTGCGACTCGACTTGGACTTGAACACCAATGACTCGGGACTTGACTTGGACTTGAGCCTTCTGACTTGAGGTGACTTGATACTTTAATTCAGGGGTCTCCAACACGCCGATCGCGAGATGCCGCTAGAAGAGCAGACTCCCGTCGGGGAGAGCAGAATCTTCAGCCGCTCATACTCTTGCTGTGAATCCATGCAGGCAGGGGTGGGACTTTATTTTGCTGAGCCACCATGCAGCCAATCATATGCGAGGACACACTGGGATCATACCATTATGTGAAAGAAGGGTGGGGGGCAGACGCTCGAAAGACAGCAGGTGTAGTGGTACAGGCCAGCTACACAGAGCGACGGGGAGCCGGATTTAAATACAAGCGCGTCGGAAAAAGTCAAGAAATTAGCGAAAACCGAAAAAAGAAGCAGCATCTGGCTGCATTTCAATGATATTGGAGAAAGCAAAGCTGAGTGCAGGATTTATAAAATGAAAATAACCTTCAGAGCAGGGTTTTTTGCTGACCGCCTCACTGCACATTATCCCTTGCATAAAGATAGATTGTGGTTCCCTTATAACATGTTGTACACAGTGGAAATAATCATTCTGGTTACCTCAACATCAGGGATCTTATACATTAAACTCCTTCTGAATCAAACCGTCACGGTAGCCTTACCTTACTTATCCCTCTTAAAATAGAAGAAAACACGTTACTTTACCAGCAGAGAGAAAATGGATTATTAAATGATTAATGTGACTAATAAAGAGCAGTTTGATTATTAAGTATTATTCTGTTGATCGATGTCATTACATTTGTTGAAAAGCACATAAGGACTTGTTTAAGACTCGTTTTGTCAAAGTAAAGGACTTGGACTTGACTTGAACTTGCCCATCCTGACTTGAGACTTGACTTGGACTTGAGTGCAAAGACTTGAGACTTGACTTGGACTTGAGCGCAAAGACTTGAGACTTGACTCGGACTTGCAAAACAATGACTTGGTCCCACCTCTGGAACATAGTAAAAAAAGGTAAATTCTTACCTCCGCCTAAAGAAAAAACATTACTTATAGTGAAAACCACCCTTGAATGATGGGATGGTAGACTAAAAGCTTTAGGAATCCAAACTATAACATATAATAAGTACCCTGTATCAAGATTGAGGCAAAACAAGTTAAATTGGACTTTTTTAGAGAGGTTTAGCAAAAAAAAGTTCCAGGCGGAATAAGCTTTCGGCACATTTGGGTACATCTGGTTCCATCAGTGCCATTTGACCTTTTTCAGGTACCAGACTATAAAAATGATGTATTACATTGAATTATCACCATAGGTATTCATTCCATTCAAATAAAAAAATAAAAAAGATTAATAAAAAAAAAAAAAATAACTTTATTTTTTTTATTTGTGAAAAAAAAAAAGACCCGTCGACGGGGGCTTTGGGGCTTAACAGGTTAATCCTCAACATGCAAGTAAAAACAAACAAAAAGGCAACAAAAAGGCAAAATTCGACCCAGATGACTACCTATAATGAAACATGAGAAGTTACACTATTTATTAATACTTCTCAGCCTGCACTTTAATGGAGCTGCCCAGTTAACATTGTTCATTTTAAAGAATGAAATCAATGAACTGTCTGTTTCTTCTTCTGCGTCAAACATGTCGATTGATAGAAAGAGGCGTGGACATTCATAGTTACGTTCCAGCAGTTCCTCTCTAAACAACTGACATGCCTTCCGGGCATCCACTTCATTGGCCCATGCTGAAAACGTAATTTGAAGAAAAAAAAAGTGGTTGGTACAATAAACTTCATAATATGTCAGCTTCAATTTTAAAATAGTACTTCATTTATTGTCTCATTTAGTAAGCCCTGTATTTTAAAGTAATATATTAAAAGGTAGTAACTTGAAATCAATTATCCTTTCCATATTACTGGATCAAACATGTAACAAGATTCATTTTGGTGATCATTGCTATTTAAGTGTTTGTGAGTAGTCACTGTTTCAAACTACACCACAGCAGTAATTGTTCTGAATAAATAACCTGCTGAAACTGTTGCTGGCAATCGTTGAACTGAAGGTCCTGGCATTTCCTCTGTCCTTGGCATTTCCTCTGTCCTTGGCATTTCCTCTGTCCTTGGCATTTCCTCTGTCCTTGGCATTTCCTCTGTCCTTGTCATACTGGCTGCTTCGCTATGATGAGCAGGGTCCATTCTTGGAAAAGACAAAACAAAAAACATACTCACAGGTAGGGATGTCCCAATCACCTTTTTTTGCTCCCGATCCGATTCCGATCATTTGATTTTGACAATCTGCCGATACCGATTTTTCCCGATCCGATCTTTATGCAATGCATTAAGAGAAAAAAAAGGAGAAAAGCATTCAAGTTGTCCCTTAAACCCCACGTTCTCCACCACAGATAGCGGCTGGTCATCCAACGCGATGAATTCAGCTATCTTGGCTGTTATTTCTTTGGCCTTTTCACTGTTCTGGGGTAGTTTCTCTTTTAAAAGTCTCTGAAAGTGTTGGTTGTTTCAGTGCCGTTACCTGAATGGCCGCTGTGTACTCGTTGTGTTGTTGTTGGTGTTTGTTTCTCAGGTGGCGTATTAGATTGGTCGTGTTGAACGTAGCTCTGTTCTTTCCACCAAACATTGCATCTGGCTTTCAATTTTATAATACTTCCAAACTCCTGACATTTTCTCTGTCCCGAGTCACCAGCTGAACGTAGCCTCTCGTTAGCTTACTGCTACTATTAGACACTGCACCCTGCCCACTCTGTTGCCAGATTTGAGAGAAATAAGCAACCAGGTCTATGAAAACAAGCCCAAAAGAAGCAACACATACATGATGTTGTGTAATTTTAAACCAAAAC